CAAACAGTGGAAATGATGGTGGACTTTAGGACGAGCCCCCCAGTTGAAAGCATATTTCAACAGCTCACAATTTATTGCCCTTAGATGTGTTATTTTATCTTTATGTTTCTTGAATGACAGCTGTAATGACTGGTACATTTTCAACTAAAAGCTTATCATTTAAAATGGATCATGGACATGTTGAGAACTCACAAACAGCAGCGGTGATTATTGTGGTCTCTCCTCAGTCATCGCAGCCTCTGATGAGTCCTTGTGTTCTCTGCCAGAGACTTTTCTGGCATGCTGTGAACGTGGAGCCAAAGGCAGTCTGGGGTATAGAAGGTTTACCATCTGGAAACGTGCATTATTTAACGTTGCATATGCCGAGACAAGCTGGCTCGGAGATTCATCATGCTTCCCACCACCAAGATGCTCCCATTCTCTCACTGGTACCGGGTGTTTCTGGTGTATGACGGGACTGTCAGATCTGTCACAAAACCTTTGTCGGGGGGAGAATTTTAACTCTGGCTCAAAGCTTTGCTCAGCTTGGAGCTCTGCGGATGTTTTCAAAGAACAAAAGGTACACAGGAGATTTAGAGGAACATTTTGATTTTGCAATATTTGTGTCAACAACCTGAAGTGTCTTCATGTTCAAGTTTCTTGCATGCTATCTATGTACATCTGAAGCAGCTGCCCATTCCCATTTGTCTTTGCCTGCTTCTGAGAGCCTTGCTCTATCTGCTTAGCTCAGAGAAAAACAATACATCATTTCACTGATAATGAACATGTGACCAAACAACAGTGGGTTGCCTGCAGGAAATGCTGAGAAATCCCCAAGTGTTTTGGTTACTGCAGTACATAGTAGCCCTGATCCCAGATCTGAATCTGATAGGGCCAAAACATTTCAGTCACTCGGGTGTTTTCTAAATTTGTAATCGGAGAATGTTGATAATACAAATTCACTTAGGATTGGCCAAAATCAGGATATTTTACACAATATTTTATACATCAACAATATTATTTGGGTGTAAAATAAAAAAAAAGAATTTTGACAGGTGTAAAAGATTAGTTCAGCACTTTGGAAAATACAGTATAGTATAAGATCAAGAATTTGGTAATAATCTTGCTGTGGTTAGCCTAGCTATACATAAAGACTGGAAGCAGAGGAAACAGCTGGCAGTTCTATCCAAAGTGTAGATAAACCCCTTTGAATATCTCTAATACATATCAAGCTGAATTGTATTTCTGTCTGTGTACAGATTTAGGAGATAAGATAAAACATGATTTAAAAAAAAAGCTTTAGAGGTACTAAGATTTTACTGTTAACTTTGTAACTAGGGGACACAGCGATCCCTGCCTTACCCAGTCTTTATCCGGTTGTGTACTAAGTGTTCAGACATGCAAATTTGTACTGGTCATCTCGTCACTTTCTGTAAGAAAGCGAGTAAGTGCATTACCAAAAATGTCAGAATATTCCTGTCAAACACCCTTTGGTCAGTCTTCACTGAATTAATGGCCCAGGAAAGAGAAGTTACATGCAGGAAACATAATAGAATTGGCTTTAATACTCGTTACTCCATCAGTTTCATATACCAAGCTGTAATTAGCACAGGGTCTTCTCTGACTAACAGATTCCAGAAAGCACATTGTACCATCAGCCTAGCTCAGACACTGAAACACTGCAGTCTTCATGATGGGACAGTCTGGCTTCAAAGGATACTCTTATGAGTTATTACTAAAGACAGTTGAAGAGTGATTTGATCATGAGATTAACATCAGAGAAGAATATATCTATCCCACAGATGGTCAGAGTTAACATCCTGCACAACAGTGGCCATGTTCAGAGGAACATTACCAAGTAGTAAACATTAATGACAGATGCCATTGGTCATACAGTAGGCATGCATAAGGCCAAACATCCCACTCTGGAGAATGGATAAAAGGCCCTACTCCATCTCTAGTTCAAGAAGGAAAACCTCTCAGGATGTCAGAATGTAGAAAGCACAAAATGCTCCCACTGTCTAAGTCATGTGACCATGAATACATTCATTTGAATGGGTTGACAGTATGGTTACAGCTAGATCTTTTCAATCAGCAAACACTCTATAAAGTTTAATTAGCTGACTTTAAAGCATAAATGAAAGAAAATCCCAATGCCCTACAATATTTGTAGCAGAATAACCTCCGAACAATTGCCTCAGTAGATGGGGATGATCTGTTTTAGGCAGAATCCTTTTGGGGAGAAAAGGGGATATTCTCCCCTTTATAATATAACACAAATGTCAAAATTTGCAATAAACTCTACAATTTATTTGGAGGTGTTTCAGGATTCTCACTGTAAGTATCTGGAGTCCACAAGGAGGGGGCGAGGCAGTATGATTAACATGTGATTCAGATGAATCAGCTATGCATATTTTTTTCTGATGTCCCATGCTGATTGTTGTATTTTATTTGTTCCCACAGCAGTGGTATTGCCCTAGCATTCTAGTTCATGTGTGAAAAAATAAGGATACATGTCTGAGTTGAGAATGTGTGAGCTTGTGCAATTACACTTATGTCAGTGAAGGGGTTGCATGCACACAAGTCTTTCCAGCCTCTCTTCATGCCCTTGTTTCCCTTTATTGGATCTTTTCAGCCCTTTGCGGTAATAACTGATGCTTTATTTGTGGCAGTGCTGCATGTGGTTTTAAAGCTACTTTGTGTGAAGGAGCTCTCACCAGATCAACATGATTTTTGTGCATGTGTGTGTGTGAAATACCCACATTGACACTGGGATCTCTGCTGACTCTAAAGGAGACAAATGACCAGACTGAACTGGCCACCAATTTACTGTAGGTTTTCCTGCAACACAGCAGAGGGGCTTAAAACAAGTTATATCAGCATTCAGAGCACATAAAGCATCTCTTCCAAACAGATTCGCTGGAGACTTGGAAGCTATATACACTATTCTGTCGAATGAGACCGCTAATAAACTTGCGTCAGAGTCATTCAGTGTAAATATTCTCTGATAGCCCTACCAGGTCAGTCTGGCCCTGCTTCCATCCATCGTCTGCTCTGTCCTGTTACATACTAGAACAGTAAAAACAAAAGTGTAACAGCACGTTGTTTGACCTTGGAACTACATGTGTGGAACAGCCGAGGAGCGTCTCTGCACACACATTCACGTAGTGTAACACTCACTGCAGCTTTGCTGTAACTGAATCTGCTTTGGCAATGGTAATGACTTTTTCCTCCATCCATTTCTTTTTTAGCACGTAAACGTAATCTTGTGTCACTGGCATGATTGGAAATAGCTCAGACTTGGTTGGTTTCATCCCATGTTGTGTATCCATTGTTACATCCATGACCAATTTGTACTACTGTAGGAAGTTACTGGAATATTTAAGCAAATCTGCTTTTCAGAGGAACACAAAGGACAAATACAACAGTGACCACCGAAACCATCAAAGAGAAAACATGTCTGCGATGCTGCTGGAGACTGTGTAATTACATGCAGTCACAAGTCACCCGGGGTTGACATGAATTTATACTCTGGTCCTGTGGGACCAGCAAGCTCTGGGTTTCTTCCCTCTGCTTCTTCCAGGGAAGCAGTTAAATGTAATGACTTCATTCTCTGAGGTGATGCAGGTTTTATCTCCAGGGACAGTTTGTGCTGAAATCAATACTTAACTACTGTTTGATGCTGTCTAAAAACTGGGTGATGAGATAGTAAATATCCAAGATGAAGTGTTTGTTTAGAGCTGATATTCTCTGTCCTACCCCTGGTGTGTGGCAGTGACTAATGATAATGAATAGCATTCCTGTCTTCACACCCGTCTAAATCCAAACTCATTTCCACAATGGCCTCCCAAGACTTTTGACATGTAGAGCAGAGAAATCATGGCTGTCAGTTTCACAGATTACCGTTTCCTCATTGCTCACCATTTCCTGTTATCATTTTCTTGGCTGCAACCAACTGAACTGACCCATAGTCAACTGGTTTAGAGACAAGAAATCTGGGTTAAAACCTTTATTTGACATTGAAATTTATTGCTAAACTCTGTTCCTCTAAGCTGCTATTGCTATGCCGGTTAAGTTACCCTTTTTAATTTACACAAATAACTGTGGCAGATTGACCATTGAAATTCAAAGCAAAGTTTGAAATCGTGTGTCCGCATAAGACAAGTAGATAAAAACAGGCTTCTCATTTGTAGCTAGAGATTGTCGATTTTGTTGTCTGGAACAGTTATTGTTGGTAGATATTTATTTGCTAAAACATGTTAGCAAATTAAGGTGACGTTAATTGGTTGAAAAGTCTGACTCTGGCTGACATGTTTATGTTTCCAGCTGACTCCTGGGCTATGAAAGCATGGTTCTCTTACAACTGTAGGTAGTTAGCTAGTTAGCTAAACATGCTAATATTTGCAGCACAGAAACATACTATATAATCCATAATACTTTTTTTGTTTTGTTTTGGAACGGCTTAGAGAGCTTAACCTCTCATGTAGACACTTTAGTGACTTGCCACTGACTCCAATAACCACATTTTATATGGAATTTCATCTGGCTTTCCTGAGCCTCCAGGCAGCTTCTCCACAATGTCTTACAATAGTCTCGGCCTATTGTTTCCCTCCTAATCTGTAGCAGATGTTTGCAGTTTGTCTCCATGCTCTCTCATGTTCTTCAGCTGTATGTTGTGTGCTCATATGCTGACTCTGGAGCTGCCCCTGTTTGTGGCAGTTTGTTACAGCTCAGCACACAGTGCTATGATGTCATTGGTTGCTGGTTGTGAAATACTTGAGGAAATGAGAAACTCACTGAACCAGAGCTGAGTGCTGCACATTTCTCATGTAGCCTCATATCAACAGTTAAGTTTTTTTGTTCCTTTGTCTGTTTATCTCCAGCAATTGTGTTCAATTTTGAGAGATCCTTGAGAAACAAGTCTGTCTTGGAACTTAACATGGTACTTAAATCTACCTGCAGCATGCTGATGAGCCCTTTTACAATTACTGCCACTTACCAATGTTTTCCTTTTTCAACAGAGAACAGCATCTCTAAGTCAACTTCCTGTGGAGGACTTTAGAGACACCTTACCTCCACACTGGAGATGCTACATGTCTCCACAAGGGCGGCGATACTATGTCAACACCACAAACAATGGTAAGAGTGCAGGAGACTCTTGCTCTTAATATCATATTTTACATTTTTATAACTGGTAGTGACTTGATATCAGTCTCCATGCCTGAGCTAGCTGAGTATGGTGTTAGCTAGCTTAGCATGAAGAATGAAAAACCTGACTTAGGGCTCAACAAAGTTTGAAAATGCACTTACCACCAATTATACATCTGTCTTATTTACAAGATGTATCATTTAATCCAAAGATTAACAGAAGAGTAAATTATTTATTTACAGATAAGTTTATTTAAAAACAAAAAGTGCGGTTTTAACCTTTCTTCATGTACAAGTCAATTAATCAGGGTTGTAATTAGTGAGGTTTAGAGTTGTTAGGTATAATTGTTCCTTTTGGGCACAGCTGGCCTAACTTCAAACCTATATACTAAACTATGGACATTTTCTCCCGACACTGACACCATAAGTAACACTCAGATGACATACTCATCTCGGCTTCAGAAAGAAACTGAACCACTTCTTACATACTCATTATAATAAACAAATATTCAGTGTATGCAGTGCAAGAGGCAAGACATATCCAGATTCTAGGCTTCAAAAATGGATTCAGACCTCTCGACCACAATCAAAAGGATGTTGGTCCCAAATCAAATAGGGCATGCTGTGATCTGGTTGGGATGCTCTGCAATAGATTTTATCAATGAGACTAAAAAGGCAAGAGGCAAGAATTATAAGTATTTTCAACAAAAAGTAAGAATGTATTTGTGGGGGGTTATGGCTCAGGAGGTGGAGCGGCCCATCTCTTATCCGGAGGGTTGGTGGTTTGAATCTTTTCTGTTTCACATGCCAAAGTGTCCTTGGGAAAAGCACTGAACTCTAAGTTTCCCCTGGTGGCTGCACCATCAGTGGGTGAATGTGAAATAGTGTAAAAGCACTATACAAGTGTAAAACCATTTCTGTGAGATGATACCTTAGATTTTTCTTTCTCCCTATATTGTATGCATATATTTTTTCCCCAGCTTTAATTTGTAACTTTGCACTGAAAAAATGCCCTGCCATGCTCCTCACATACATGTGGGATACTTAATCAGCTTGAAAATCACACCTGAACAATGAATCTGTAGAGCAGTGATGGTGCCGGATAGAGATAGAGTTCCTTGAAGAATGGATACTGCTGATAGTGCCTTGCTTCTGTCAACACAGTCGCCACTCGGCGTCCTCTGAACACACATTTATACACACATTGGCATGGCGACAGCTTAATACCCTCCTCTGGTGTGCAGACAGCAACATAACCCGCTTTTACTGTCCCTGAGTGAACTCGCTGTAAAACCTGAGTGATGATACTAATATTGTGCTTTGGCACGGCGGTGCCTTTGACCTGAGGATGTAATAAAGGTTAGAAAGTGCCAGCTTCTCAGACACAGTGCTCAGCAGTCACACAGAGAGCAACAGCAGGTTTCAGGCAAGAATGTTTCTATTTTTAAGACCTGTTCACACCAGAACTGGCACATCAAAATTCATCTGTGCATCTTTGAGTGATATTTGATTCTAGAAGCTTGGTGGCATAATGATACTTGCAGGGCTAGTTGATGAACTGCTGTGACAAGATTAAGGCCAACATACTCGCCAGCTGGGACACACTAGAGAAAACTAGAGAAAATAGAAAGAAGCACAGGGAGCCATTGTGACTGAATAGTAACTTTATGGTTTCTCTGCAATGACCTGTTTGTTCTCTGTAGCATTTTGCTCTTGGGTGTTTATATAATTATATTCAATAAAAGTATTATTGAATAGGGGGAAACATTCTTTGAGCTGTCGAGCTTGGACAGGTAGCAGGCTCAGTATTTTGGTTGCTTACAGGACAATAAATCACACATTTAAAAGATACTTGTACTATCCACTTGTCTTATAACTGTCTGCAAAGCACTTCTCTTCTGTAGAATAGTCTATACTCTGACAGAGGAGGTTACTGTATGTACAAGGGAATAACGCAACATAATTAATGACCTATAAAAAGGTTCCTCCATTTTGGACTATGCAACTGACCGTGGCAGCCACAGTGTTCACCTGTCTAACTAAAGTTCCTAGTGCCACAAATCAAGTTCCGTTATTCTAACTACATTTCTCTTGCCATTGTCTTTGCATATAGGTGCAAAAGTATAGTACAAAATGTGACAATGTTCTATGGAAAAAAAGCTACTTATATATAGTATAGTGAGAGGTAAATTAAGATCGGTCACTTGAAAACCATTGCCATTTTGGGTCATAATTTTGCAACACTTGTAGAGTTACACATCCGTGATCTTGGCCTTTATAAAATGTGGTATGGGTCAGCTATGTAATTTTGTTAGTATGATGTTAGACATACTTTTTAGCATGAATTCAGAAATAAATCCATTTGCTGACTGACTTGCTTGAGTTTCAGGAAGGATATTTCCTATGTTTAGGAGATCATTTAGCAACCATGCTAACACACATATGTCAGCATGAGTGTTTCTGTAAGACATTAGAATAAAGTAACAGTTAGTTTTGACTAATGCTCATGATTATTATTTTTTTCCCAATACTTTGCGACATCAGAGAAAATAAACACAGACAGTAAGCCACAGAGAAGTGCCGGACAACTTGCTGTCAGTCACCACAATTTTGTTTCCCACCTGGAGCCTGTGTAGCCCAGATTATGCAGAATGACATCACTAAAGATGTCCAAAGGAATGAGCTACCTGTCAGTCTATATGACTTCAGGTATACAAGTCTTGGCTTGTTAGTGGTCTTAAATGTGCCATTGAAGAACAAACCTCTTTTTACACGAGGCTCAGTGACTCTGTGCACCTGTATCATATAACTGGAATTGTGGCTTAGCAGTCACTTAAAAGAATAATTGCATCGGAGCCATTATGTTCGTTTTTGGTCATGGTTTCATGAGAGGGGATTTTAAAATTAACCAGGGACTCCACCCAAGCACGAGTCGGGGAGAGCCGCTCCTCCTTTTCCTCCTCTTCTTCTCTATTTCGATTGAATAAGATTCTAAATGTGCTAATGTCAAGAAGCTGGAACCAAACCAGACTCTCTGCCCTCTTCTAGAATGTGCCATTATATTATCCTTTAAGAGCTACGATAACCTTGGAGCATGTCATTCTTCCCCCTTGGTCCCTCTGGGAATCTGACAGATCTGTTTAGTTTCCCTGTGATGGGGTTTGGAGGCTTCTCTTTAGTAGTAAAACTGATCACATCCCAGAGGGACTGAATCAGGAATAAGTAGCAGGCTGGAAGAAAAGTTCCACAATATTTCTTAAGAAAGAAAATGTTTAATTTTTCATAATTTTGCATGCAATCGGCAGCGTCTGTGTCCTGGCTCATAAAGGAAGTGTTGTTGCTGTGGCATGTTAAACAAAGACCTTCAGGACTTATTTTCTGCATGACTACCACAGAGTCACTGGACTACAAGCCTGGGGTTCTGTGAAATCCACTATTACAGTAACTGTTTCCAAACAAAGCCATCTGATAACATTTTTCCTGAAACAAATGACATCTTTTCATTGGACCTCCCTTTCACAACCCTGAAGTTCAGCTAGATTACTGTCGTGTGTGTGTGTGCGTGCGTGCGTGTGTGTATGTTTGTGTGTGCATTTGTTTCTTCATCACCACAGTAACAGCAGTGTGCGTGGGTGCATGTCCTTGTGTCAGGGTTAGCTTTTTTTAAGGTTTTCCTTCCCGTGTTGTTGGCTGCAGCGGTTTGTACCAGCTGTCACCTAAAACTCTCCACTCATATGATCAGTGTGCTGCTTAACAAACACACCAGACCAAATACTCAATACTCCCAGCACACACAATTTAATTAAATGTAGATCTCTCAGTTTGCATTTTTTTGAAAGTCTGACTCATACTAAACTACACTACTCAAAAAAATTAAGGGAACACTTAATCATCACAGTATAACACCAAGTCAGTTAAACTTCAGGGATAACAATCTGACTATTTAGGAACCACAAGTCATTGTGAATCAGTTTCACCTGCTTTGGTGCAAATGAAAGGCAAAAGCAAGACAAGCCCCCAAAAGGAAATTGTTTTACATGTGGTGGCCACAAACAAATGCTCTCTCCTTATCCTTCCTGACTGATTCTTCTCAGGTTTTGTGTTTTCCTGGTGTTCTTGTCACTACTGGTAGCATGAGGCAGTACCTGCAGCCCAGTCAGGTTGCATAGGTTACTCCAAGATGGCACAGCTATATGTGCAGTCATAAGGTTTGCTGTGTCTCCCAGCACAGTCTCGAGAGCATGGAGGAGATACCAGAAGACCGGCTATTATACTAGGAGAGCTGGACAGGGCAAGGTGCATTATAACAAATTGCAGTTAGATTTTGAATTAGGTTTCTGTATTTTTACCTACAAAGTAGCAGGGAAACGGTCCTATTGCTGAGACACGTAACCTTGTAAGCACAGTCTGTTAGGTCTTTCCTCTTTGGAATAATTCAGAGCATGAATGTGCTGTTTTGATTGATTAAAAACCAGAGACAAGAGAGGTAGCTAATCCATCAGGGACCAGTGTCATAAGGGTGTGAATAAAATATAAAGTAGCTGTGTCAGAGCTAACTAGGCCATTTGCCCTTTTACACATTCAAAATCTGAGATGTCTGGTCTCACTCGAGGCTTATGGACAGAGCTCATGTTTTTGGACCTGCTGTTGACTATTTTCATTTCTAAATTCACTTGTACACATCTGCTACAGTGAAGCCAGTCTTCTGTTGTTATCCACACTCTGGTGAATCTGAACCAGTAGTGTATGCAAAATGAAAATGTGGTTATTACTGTCTTTGTGGACTTAGAAAAGCACTAATTGATGCTTCTGTGTTCTATAAAAGACCCTATCCTCAATCTGCTACATGCTATTATTGATATCATGAATTGAAACCTCATTAAGGTTTGTGACAAGCCTGAAAAGAACAGATGCACTATTCCACAAATGTAAAAGTGGTGAAAGTGAGCTGACTTAGTTTTATATTTGAGACTGTCAAAGCAATTTAGAATGATTGACAATTTTCTGGAATTCAATTCTTCTGTGACAAAGTGGCTAATGAGAATTACTCCTGCTGCTGCATATGTATCACTGTATCTGGAGGTATGAATCTGGAAAGTGAAATGACTAATATTTGACTTATATAAAAACCTATCTGACAGAAATGACCAGCAATCTGCATTTTTAAATGCCACTTCTTCCTGGGTATCAACCATTATAGTAAATATGTAGGGTTTCACACCTCATACCCACAGTGATTTATAAAACATAAAAGTTGCTTCATTTGACAAAATATTTTTAAAACATGTTGTAGAGAAAATAATATTGATTTAATGTAGTCATTTCAATTAAGCTTCAAGCTATCATCCAGTAGTAAAGATATATTTTTCAAACTGTTTTGAGTGCTATCCCCATGGCATGGAGAGACTCACAATAACCAACAATTTCCCTGTGCTAAATAGATTATGCTGTATTTTTCTCTATTAACATCCCCTATTTCTCACAGTATTGATTTGTTTATGACAAGCTAACAGAGGGAAATAAGAGCCATTTAGGGCCAGTGAGTAAAGGTTGTGTGCTGGTGCTGTACATCAGGCACAAAGGCACAGCTTCTCTCCATACGTCTGCTGCCAGTTATCCTCTCCATGCCTGTCATTTGAGCTGATGGGTTTGGCTCAAGCTTTCTCCTCTGCTAAGCAGCGCCAAATAGAGCACAGCCAGCCAAAACGGCCCAAATGAAATAATAGCTCTTCACAGGTCTGTTCTTTTTCTTTCTGTGCTGACAGCAAAGGGCTAATTGAGCTCAGTGTTGTGATGAGAGTGGACAGAAGGTAGTAAAAATCAAAGAGAGTCCTTCTATATTACAGGTTTTTGTCACTCGTGCTTTTGATATCCTTGTTCTCAAACAACTTTAGCAGCTGGGGTGAAGTATCGGTTCTTCTGTGGAGCTCAGTTTGATGTCAAAAGAAATTTGTATTTTTATTTGGTTAAAGGTTTATACTTGTTAATCCTGATGAGGGGAAAAAAACATTTTATCCAGAATAATTTAAAATGACATTCTTTATAAACACTACTCTTCCACCCACAGCTAATATTTCAGAATGTAAAACTCCACTGTTGAATTCTTTCATGATGTGTTTATTTAAAATTGTTTTTGGTACTGGAGTCACAAAGTGTCAAGAATTTAACAACCGCCATGGGTGATTCTCATTAGCCCAGACACCTGTCAATCAAGTAAGAGCTTTACTTAATATTTTATTCCTGGTGGTATGGTTCTGAAAATTGGTGCCAAAGAGAAACAATACAAAAAGTAAAATAAAAACACAAAGACCGAGTTAATGTGAGGAAAAAATGGTTACATTAGGACTTTGGTATTGCCAGACTTTTTAAGCTAGCTCTTCCCCATGATGGTGGCCATTTTCACTGGAGAATTTAAAGGAGCATGTTCAGTCTGTAATTTGCTGTCACATGCTGAGGTTTGTGGAGGTTAACGAATCAAAAAATACAAACAGCCTGCCAGTATTTAATCCTGTCACCTTTGTGCTGTTAGCCGTTTGCTAATGTTACCCAGTTACTCTGTTGATAACTGCTGTTTAACTACAGAGCCAGAAAACTTTTGACATTATAGTAACTGACAACAAGGTACACGTGACATCACCAGGCCTGGTTCCAGACCTTTAATTGACACCAAAATTTCAGGTGTATTCTGTGATCCAAATTGCAGATTGAGAAACAGTCTTCATCATCTTCGCTAGGTAGGGATCTAGCAATATGGAAAACCAGCAACAGAAAAAGATATAAGCTTGAATGAGATTTGCCAAGCTTTTTGGGTTATTAGGTTGTCAAATAACAAAATGAACAACCCCCTAAATTGAAATATTTGTAAGATTGTCATGACACTTTCTTTTGTTTTCTGATTTAACTGCTGACTGCAACAAGTTTGCATCTGTGGTTAGAATCACTTCTTCTTATTGTTGCCTAGAAATTGTTCAGACATTGTCAACAAATATGACAGCTGCTATTGCTCTATGATGTCATTGTTTTTCTTCTCCTTTGAACACTCCATCAGAGACGACATGGGAGAGACCCTCTAGTGTACCAGGGACCCCGAAAACCTCAATCCGACACAAGAATTCCCTGCCTGCAGGTACTGCAAATCTCTCTCTCTCTCCATATGAACTCTCTGTCAGTTCAACTTCCTCAAGTTTTGGTGCCCTGCGGCTGTGAATTCTCCTAAAATTCCACGATGGCACAAGGCACCCACTCATGTGCAGCAAACACATGCACACAGACACTTCCTGTGACTAATTTTATCTGTGGCCTCAACTGCAGAACTAAGGCCTTCTCTCTTTCTAGAGAGCACCAGTTAGGTTTTGCTTAGTTGCTGTATAAAGTAAGTTTTGCTAGGTGGAGACTTACTATATTACAATAACTGGATTACAGTACACAGACTACTCCTTACTGTATGCAGAGCTTAGTTGTTACTAATACACCTGATAAATACTGTTATGGTTTTGGTCCAACTTCCTGTTTTGTGCTTTTATTTTGTAGCCATTTCATGTCTTTCACCAGATTTACACTGCCTTCAGCTATTGCTCATTTCATGTTTCAGCCTTTAAATTCACCTCACATCCCTCACTCCTGGTTGGCATTACCTGCTTCCATCACCTGTCAGATTTTTTTTCCCTGCTCCTGGTTTGTTATTTTTTGTTCACTTAGTTCTCTCTTCTAAGGGCCTATTCACTTTTCGTATCTTTTGCTCACAATAGTGATTGACGCTGTCATGATGCGTAAGAAAGAAAACTACTTTTCAAAATTCAGCAGGTACACCACAGGGCATGTGACTAGAACCAACCAATCAGCTTCATCCCTTCTGCAACAACATTTGGGTTCAAAGCTCAGCTACGACCGAGGACGAAGCTCTTGGATCAGCTGGTGAAATTCTCTGTTTTCTTCCTGCTTGAAGGACAGGGTGCACCCAAACAGCATTTTTCCCCCTCTTGTCCACAAATAGCTGTAGTAGCAGAGCTACTGCAAGGGATTTTTGATGCTGGAAATCCATTTATATCCTGAAACTTTGTCGTCATGCAGCACACAGCTCATGGTTACTTAGCAACGGCAGGCACCATGGGAGCGCAAGCTCCTGAGCGCTTTGGAAAGACGGAGAAAGCAGCATGGCTGGTGTTTTCTGCGTGTTTTTAGACATGAGAAGTGACTGGCCCCTTAATTTTGTTGTTCTGCTCTCTGGCTTTACGTTCTTTGTTGTATACCTTTGTTGTTTTAGTGTTTGTTTATTCTGGTCTCAGTTTGTGTTAATTCTCTTTATGTTAGATCAGAGTTTTTCTTGTTACCTTATAGTCCTGTGCTTCATTAATTACTGTGCTGTTTATTAAATACTAGTCCTTTCATCTAGTTCGTCTTGTGTTTGCATTTGGGTCTTCTTTTAGTTAACTTTAACACTTACTGACTTAAAGACTTGTATCAAATTAGAAAAATGAAAAGACAATTCAGCAGTGCCTTGGTTTGCTTAGTGACTAAATGAGTTCCTCCTGGATTAGCTCAAGTTTGCAGCTCATCTGCAGACACCAAGAACTAATGAAATCTCTCTGTGTATCTTTTCTCTCCTCCTCCGTCTCATTTGTTTCTCCAGTAAATGGATTTCATTCAGGTGGCAGTCCCTTGCATCATGTAGAGCATTCACACAACAGTCTGGTGAGGAAGAGCAGTACAGAGCCACAGGTAAAGCTGTCTGACTGTTGTTCTGCACACAGCATTATGCACATCTACTGCAGTCTAAAAGTATTGTTGAATGACCATAAGGTTTTTACTGAGTCATTTATCATACTGCTTCCTTTTTTAATAGTCATTTAATGGACAAAATATGTTACTACATATTATCTCAGCTTCGTCTCTGTGATTTGTGAAAGTATTCTTTTTTAGTATAATATGTGTGTGTGTGTGTGTAGAAGTGAATCATTTACTGCTTGCAAACCAATGATGGTAAGATGATGTCATGGGGTAGGACTGGATAAGTCTGACTTATTCCTACTCCATTCAAGCATGTACTATTGTGTGTAAAAAAGTGTGTTGTTATGTCAACTGTTTTATATGCTTAAAAGAATATATCAAATCAAATCAAATCAAATCAAAAAACCTCTATACTATACATACTCTACCCTTAAGTGTGTCAGCTACCCACTTTGAAAACCACTGTCCACTCCTGGTGGTGTCAGTGTCTTTTTCCCTCACACACAGACATCATTCTGCCAGAGTTTTCACAGAAATTTTACTTAAATTAAGTTCTTTTGCTTAGACTGCTCCAAACCTCCCCATCACATATAAGTAAATGTGATATTGGAGCTTCAGAGTCACTCAATCTGAGGACAAAGACAGGATAGTATGACTGTTTTTCATGCACTAAGCACATCTTCACAGTTCAAGTTGCTGCCAGCTGCCTTTTTTCACTGACCTTTAGAGTACTCTACCATATAATGTAAGTACACAAGTTGTCCAGGTGCAATTAAACTAACATAAGTATGAGGGAGACAGCAGCAGTAACTTTTATACAAGACAGAATAGCAGTACCAGGTGAAATGCTGTACCACTCAAATCCTTCAAACAAACAAACAAAAAGAAATAGTTTGATAGTGGCTCACCATCAGTGGCCCAAGCACTTTAGAGTTTCTTCTTACTTAGGCCACGTTCACACTGCAGGCTGAAGTGACTCAAATCCGATCTTTTTGCCCAAATGTGACCCATATCCGATTTCCTTATGACAGTGTGAACAGCACAAATCCGATTTTTTCAAATCCGGCCCAGGCCACTTTCATACGTGGTCCTAAATCAGATACATATCCGATGTTTTGCAATGTGACTTCAGTCTGAATGGCCAGGTTGCATTCCATGCGATTTTTATGTTATTGAAATGCGACAGACGTCACAATTCTGCGCTGGAGGAGGCGAGGCCATAAGCAATATTTGCACTCTCCTTCTTCTTGATATTCTTCTTATTATTTCTTTATTTCGACTGCATATTAACTGGTACATCGCTATGCACATGCTATCACGAGCCGCATCCATTTTTATCCGCAAACACAGTACGCTGCGCCTGACGTCACATCCTCTTCTGCGCATGCGGGTCACTTCAGAGCCGTATACCGTTCACACATGAGACACATGGCAGTCGCATTTAAATGACAGTGTGAACAACAGCGCAAAAAAATCGGATCTGAGCATTAAGACCTGCAGTGTGAACGTAGTCTTATACTGTGATACTTGAGTTTTACCAGTGATAATAAAAAAAAAAAAATTCAATACCATCGTTTGGGAAAAAAAGTGAACATGGTGCTTAAAATATCTAAACACATGCCCAGCACAAAAACTTTGCCTAAATAAATTCTGAATAAAATGGGCACATTTTATTTAAAATAAGACCCACTTAATTACAAAACAATAATCAAGACAATGTCAGTTTATAGTATTGCCTCTCCTGGACAGGTCGGGTACAATGGGTTTATCAGACCATTTTGTGATTTAAAAAAACAACAACAAAAAAAAACACTGCCTGCTGTGGCTGGAAACGACCAAAGCAATTATGTTTTCACAGTGAGTCAAAGGCAATGAGTAACTTTAATTACTGCTTTTGAGGTTGCATGCCTCTGCCAACCAGTCAAATTCACAGGTATGGGACAGAAGTGAGGTCACTGGCCATCCACCACCAAAATCTAATCAGTTCATCCTTGGGTTCAAGTGGACACTTGTGCCAAATGTGAAGAGATGTGAAGAAGATTTTCTCAAGGTGTTCCTGACTTTCACAAGAATCATACAGACAGCTGTATAAGCCGAAAACCTAATGCCTCCGGGCTGTGGCTGTCGCCTGCGCAGAGGCATAAAAACCCTACTCATAATGCTCAATTCACAATGTTGAGATTCAGCTTAAATTAACACAAAACTGTAGAACTCAACTCAAATCATCTGTATACAGTCACAAAACTCACAGGTATTATGATGGTTTATAATGTAGTCTTTCAGATAATCAAACCCCCTCTCCTTCCTCTCTCGTTATTAATGGAGAGGCTGATGGCAGTTAGAGCACAATTCCACCTACGGTATCTGCTCCCATGATCATAATTAACCAGGCAGTTGGGGCACAGTTATACATGATCCACCCACCACTTGTTCATGCTGTCTCCTCATTTCTCTGCTTTCCAGCACCTCACACTTGTGCACACACACCCAGTCAATCAAAAAATATAAAATATAAACACTTACTTTCACTTTACTTCCCCTCCTTTTCCTTTTCTTGCATTTCATAGACTGCATAAGTTGGAAATACCCACACTTCACACACTACAACCTCGTTAAACACTCTATATCCTTTTGTAATGTCATGTAACTGTTGTCTTGTCTCTCGTGTTCGGTACTGTTTTGTTAAAAAAAAAAAATATGAACACACCATTCAAGGTCTTGTTCTGTTTTTCACATTTAATTTCCTGCAGGACAGGAGGTGTGGAACTCTCTATACCTTTAACCTTCATAAAGCTCCATACACTGACACAACGCTGATTTGTCCAGGACACTATAAATTACTCTGTTCTAAACCTAAATGTTAGGAATCACGTACAGACATACATACAACCACACTCACAGAGAGAAAGCCAATCACGCTTTGCTCTGAAGAACTCTCCTTCTCCACTCTGCACAGCAGCACACACAGTAAGACACACACACATACATACATAGCAGCAACAGCAGGAGGAACACAGACAGCACCAGTCAGACGGTAACAGCACTTGCCAGGAAAACAGCTGTGTTTGTGTGTGTGTATCTGTGAGTGACGGTGTGTATGTTGAGCAGTCATGTCTAACAGAGGAGATGGAGGTTTTGACAGAGCTTCCTTCTTCTCTCGACAGAGTCCGGGATCAACATCGCTCACCAGGAAACAGAACAAGGAAACCACAGTCACGGTGAGTGTGGCAACTCTCAAGAACTCTTAACTAACCATGAATTCGCCATGGCTTTCTACAGTAGCCCTGAAGGACCAGATTGAGCACCAGCAGCGTGGAGCTAAACTGATATTTTCCTCCAAGTTTGGAAATGATATGATGATGGTAAAATGCACCAAAGGTTTCCTCTTCAGATACATGTCCTGCCTGCATCATCTGGGAGGATCATGTACCTGTATATCATTCTACCTGTATGTGTATATA